TACTGTCCCTACTGGCCAAATATAGTTGTCTTTTGTGTTTACATGAAGTTTTTATTCCAATTGTTATCCAGGTGGATTTGTTTTTATTTTCATTTTTGACTATTTTTAAGGGAAAGCTTGAATAAAAGATCCTCAAGTATGTGTTCAGAAAGCAATTAAATTTAGAATCAATATTATTGCTGTCAAATACATTGGCCCATGATACATTACTTAATTTTGTGACAAAATCTGCCATCGTATGCTTGTTGATTTTCCTTACTGTTTGATATTGTTGATTACTGGGCTGAAGGTCAATATTATTTATTTCTATGAGTTGAGCATCATGATCGGATAAGCCATTTATAAAGGGTCCTACAGTATAGTCTCTTAATTTTGAGTTATCAATGAATATATTATCTATCGCTGAACTAGAATTATTTTGAACTCTTGTGGGAAAGTTAACAGTACTGGAGAGATTGTAAGATGATAATAAAGAGTCTAAATTTAGTTTCCTATTACTGTCGATGAGATAGTTTATATTTATATCACCACAAATTATAAATTCAACTTTTGAACTATGCAGTATATTTAGGATGGTTTCTAATCTACTTATAAAGTGATCGAAGTTTCCAGATGGGGCTCTATATAAAGTCAGTATACAAATATAAGAAAAAGGAGAGTCTAACTTTAGAGCACATGCTTCCAGATCCTGGTCTTTGCAATAATCTTCTAAATTTATTTTAGTAAAATTTAGGTTTTCATGTATAAAAATACTCACTCCTCCTTTCGCCAGTGTTTTCCTACAGTATCTAGCACCTAAATTATAATTTTCTAAGTGAAGGTGGCCATCTATGTAGGTTATTTACAAATCATATAGACCATTGATAGCTCAGTTGGTATAGTGATGGGCTATAGGCTAGATGGCCAGGGTCCACTTCTTGGAAAGGGGAAAGATTTTTCTCTTCTCCTTGTGTCTGGACCGCCTCTGGGGCTCACTCAGTCTCCTACCCAGGTGCACGATGGGGGTGATTTCCCCGGGGGTAAAGCGACCGTGTCGTGAAGCTGACCACTCTCCTCCATACACGGAGGAGGTAATAAATTTTAGATATGTACCTCCTCTCCCCACCTCTCTACCTGGCATAGTGCTTATTAAGCACAGGGATGACTTTGCCTTTTTGTACTACGGATTGGTACTTGCTTCTTTATTGTAGTTTATTTAACGACGATGTCAGTAATATAAGGCTATGGGGCCAAGGTAGCCAACTTCTTCCAAGACATTACGCTACTTCAATCGCATTCCCGCCCATGACTATACACCTTGGCGCTAGTCGGCAAAGTGTCAAGAACGGACAGACGTAATACATCCTCCTATCAAATGTCTGCCATACAAAGGTGGCAAAGAGTGGAAAAACTAAGTTACCAGTTTTGATGTCCAATATACTGTGGTATCTTTCTGCTTTGTTGTTGCTTTGATTTAGAACGTGAGGCGGAACATGATTTAGTTTTAACGTTACCCACTATATTGTTTAACTATGTCTCGCACCGAACTCTACTGAATGCAAATTGTACTCTTTGATACATAATAGACCTGCTATAGACAATCGTAGTAGGCCACGATCAGCCTGACCGTAGGACAAATGTTCAAGGTTTTCGATTACGCAAGAAATAAGTGCAGGAGCTTATTATCAACAATATTTCATCGTGTTAAAAGCGCAGCTTTATTAATGGAATATATGAAGTATGTGTAATTTTAAACACTGTTTATATTAGAGACCTTTAATGTACAGAGTATAGTGTTTCGCGGAAGTATATATAATATCCTCCCTCCAACGAGACAGGCGGCCATTACATGGTGCTCACATGACCCGTTGTTTGGCCCCGTGATCAGGTCGGCAGGCTTCCTGGCAAATTCAAAACTTTCACAAAGTGCTTTCTCATGGATATGTTAGAACATACTTTGGAAAGCAGGTATGTTGTTATAATTGAGCTCTGAAGCCGGTCAGTAAACGAGACTACGTAACTATTTTCCGAATCTTGCATCGAAGGTCACTTCGGAATTGTGTTGATTGTAACTCGTCTGCAACATATTAGCCAAGGGGCATAATCACTTTCTTATCACAACTTAGTGGGCGTTACGTATAACTCAATATATACAACAGGAGTTAATATTAATGAAACTAGTCTATATTTCTATATTTTGTGACAATGTTTTGATTAGTAGTTCAGGTAACTAATGTTCGGAACGTATTGCGTATGAAATGTCGCATTTGCATGATGACTGCGATTAGTATCAGCAATTCGAGAGGGGGTAGGTGTGTGGAGACTTGTAATCAGTACGAGCCTGATGTATTATTATTCAATGCGTGCTGCTTCCAAAGTTTTGGCAGGAGTGTTAAAAATAGGAAGTGGCGGCTGCATAGATTTTGAATTCATATACACATACTTCTGTACCGAATTATGTCAGAAAAGTGCGTAAGTTTTAATATGTTATCTTTGATAAAATCTAATGTTGGTACCGTGAACTAGAAGGAGTAACTTGCTTCAGTAATATATTTTAGCTGAAGTGATTTGATAGGGTGAGGCGGGATAGCGTAGTCTGTATAGCAACTAGCTAAGAGGGGACGACCAAGAAGTCGGGGGTTCTAGTCCCAGTAGGATCAAGAATTTTCTTCACATCATCTAGACCGGCTCTGGGGTCCACCCAACGTCCTATCCAATGGGTAACGTGGACTGTTTTCCCTGAGGGTAAAGCGTCCGGGGCGTGAAGCTGACCACTCACGTCTAACTAGTGCTGAGGTGAAGAAAGTGTGGATTTATACACCCACTCCCCAATATGCGTTCATGGTGTATTGCTTAATTAGTTAAGCACAGGGACAACTTTGCCTTAACTTTTACTGATTTGATTGGACAATTTTAATGCAGCACTACTTGAATTTTAAGTTGTTATTTTTTAATGTAACAGAGAACAGAGTGTACTTTCATTGTATGGTTAATAGGAAGGATGCTAAGCATTTTTAATCATATTAAATTTTACTTATATAACAGTCCTCATATAGTGCAGAGGTGTTTCTACTGAAAAGCTTTTTTTAATGTTAGGTAATAACTATTGGCATGGGTAACAGACAAGTTCTTTCTTTCATTGTCTACTCTTGCATATCCATGAACATATAAACTTACAGACAATTTATGCTACCAAAAGTGCCCAGTTTATGATATAATAAGAGGATTTATGAGTAATCTGGTGAAGTGATATAATTAATAATTGTCATTGTGAAGAGCAGAGTGGAATGGCAGGTTAGTAGTCCTAACAGCTTTTTTATTGTGATGGTTTTGTTTTTTAGCTATCTTAATGGGCAGTGCTGTGCAAATGCTCTATTTAATTTTGTGCAATTGCATGTTATTGAGTTGCATTTCATATTTAGAATTATGATGGCTCTTAGAGAAATAGGACATGATATGGACTGGATTCATCTGGCTTAGGAAAGGGACTGGTTGAGGTCTGTTGTGATTGTTTGTAATTATTATATTTAATTGTTATATTGGACTGTTGTCTATATCCTGAGTCTTACGAACTTGTAAAGGATTTTTGACATGTAAATAAATGAAATGAAAAAATGAAATGAATACCATTTGGGTTCCATAAAATGTTTGGAAATTCTTGCTTAGCTGAGCAGCTGGTGGCTTCTCGAGAAGGACTCAGCTCGGAGTTAGTTTAATTAGTTAATTCATGTTTAGAAGTGGGATTTCCAAAAACTGATACTGGCCACAAGTTGCTCTCACGATGATTACTCTTTAAGATGTCCTTGTTCAGAATTTTTCATTGTATTGAGATGTTGCAGTTTCAGACATGGCATAAGTATAATCTGTGCAACCTTATTCTGTTTATCCAGTTTTGGAAATATTGCAGTTATTGTGACATACAAATGCAGTAATGTAAAGAAACAGCTGCTCACTGTTACATTAATAGAAAATTAGTGCGAGTGTAATCACATATAAATTAAATACAGGGTTACTATAAAAGGAATAGACACTTTCAACGTTTTATAGAAAGCAAAGTATTATTGATATAGCCAAAATACTTGCATTGTTTTCTGATACATGTCTTTAAGTTTGTATGACTAAGTTACAAATGTTCTATGTGTGAGCCTTTCATCACATGATGAATATCAGTACAATAATCCCATTCATTCAAAAAACACCGCTCAACAGACCAAAACATGGCATTGACATGTTGGCCACCAATAAGTCCGGATCTAATGTCTTGGGATTTTTTCTTGTGGAAATATATCAAAGACAAGAGTTTTTTCTTCCACTTCCTGTAAGTGTAAATGATCTAACGCAGTGGTTCTCAAACTCTTTACCTCTGAGCCCCCCCTGACAAGAGAAAATATTCTCAAGATCCCAGCCTGTTTTTTTTATCAAGATAGAAGTCATGGTATGTTTAACATTTTATTCAATTTATTTTGTGTTTTTCTTCATACTATTTAGCAGTTTTTTTTACTCAAAATTAAAGTATCACAGTATTAGGTGTACAATAAAAATTAGTTTTAACACTTGCTGTTAACCAAAATATGTATTGAAATGAAGCGATATTTAACTAACAAGTATTTAATTTTTTCTGCAAAGAAAATCAAACATTTAAATGTCAAAGTTCATTGTGATGGATGAGCCTGCTTTTGAGAACAAAGTTTAAAAAAACATGGTGTAATATCAGAAATGGCCACTCTAACTTCTTTAGCAATATTCAGCCTTGAACGTTACTTTGACTTTATAGCTGCCAAAGCAGAAAAGCCTGTCTCGCATAAGTAAGTTTTTGCGAAAGGAATCATGATCTTCAATGCTTTTGGGCTCAAAGAACAAAGACAATTTCTTAAATTTACTTTTTAATGAAGTATCACTAGTGAGATCGATGAGTTGTTCTTGCTCATTTACATTCAGAGATTATGGCCCAGGAGCATTTTCGAATGGATTTTTAATCAAATTAAATTCATCAAAATCGTTGCAAAAATTATCTCGAAATGAACTTTCCACATTATGAGATGATCAAGTAGGCAGCTTTTTATGTCCATTGGAAGCACTGGATTATCAGTGTCTTGTACCATTGACACCAGAGTAGGGAACATGTTTAGCGTGTCACTTTCCATACTGTTTCTCCAGAGCTCTAATTTTCTCATGAATGCCTTCACTTTGTCATTCCAACAAAGTACAGTTGCCTCATTCCCTTGAAGTGAAGTGTTGAGGATATTTAGTTCCTCAAATATATCTGTGAGGTAAGCCATTTTCAATAAAAAATCCTTGTTGCTGAAACTGTCTGCCAGTGGGTGATTTTCCCCATTTAAAAAAAATAGAACACCTCATGCCTCAGCTCAAACATTCTCTTCAATACCTTGCCTCTTGAAAGCCATCGAGCATCACTAAAAAACAACAGAGCAGTGCATTTGGCACCCATTTCCTCACACAGCATTTTAAAAAGTCTAGACTTCAGAGGATTTGTCTTGATAGCGTTGATGGTTTTTACAACCGTCTGCAGCACTTCATGAAGGGGTGGGCTGAGTTCTTTAGCTACCAGAACCTCCTGATGTATCATACAGTGAGTCCATACTGCTTCAGGTGCAACAGCTTTAATTTTTGCTTGTAATCCAGCATGGACTCCAGACACTGAACAAGCTCCATCTGTGCATATGCCAGTGCACTTATCCCATGATATCCCATTTTCATTAAAGAAAGCATTCATCATGTCGAAAAGGCTTTGAGCTGTTGCTGTTTTCAAGATAGGCTCACAGAAAAACAATTCATCTTGCATATTACACTCATCAACAAAACGAACGTACGCAATCAAATGAGCATCTTTATGAATATCAGTCGCTTCGTCCACTTGAAGTGCAAAGCACTTGTTACGCAAGTGCTGACGTAAATCGTCGGAAATTCTGAAATTCTTCTACAAACTGTGTCATTAGAGAGGAGGATATTTTTCAATTGTTGAGCAGCAGAGTCACCCAACATTGTTGATACTGTGTCAGTTGCTGCTGGTAAAATCAGTGTTTCTGCAATTGTGTGTGGTTTCTTGAATTTAGCAATTCTGTGAGAAACCTGGGTCCTTGGCATACTCAAACTGCCAAGGACCCAGGTTTCTCATAGAATTGCTAAATGAAAGAAACCACACACAACAGGCGTGACCAGAGTGGTTTGAACGGCTGTTGTACTGCGTTGTGGAAAGCAAATGGAAAAACTACCACATTATCACTTTTCCTGGATAGTCTCTTTCCAAAAACAGAAGATCGCATTAAGTGGAGGAACTGTTTTGGAAGAGATTGTGGACCTGTCGTCTGACAGATTACTGATGAATGAATGAGAAACCTGGTAAGAGGCTAAAAGGGCCTTAGAAGGTACATTTGTTGTTTTAGTAAATTTCTGTTGGGTGGACTTTAAACCGCTAAGCTTTCTAACAAAAAAAAATCTTTTGGTTTATTTGTAAACTTTGGATGTTTGGTTTCAAGATGTCTCTTTAATTTATTTGGTTTCATACTATCTGCAGCTAAAATACTTAAGACGTATTACACATTGCGGACGTTCTTGATCATTGATCACAGTTTTCGTAAAGCCTAGTGATAAATAGTTCTCATCGTACCTTCTTGTTTTCACACTCCGAGTAGCTTCTTTCCCACCACTAGTTGAAGGAGCACCGGTGTCTTCATTTCTATCACTAATCAGGAAACACTTCATGATCAGTTGTTCATAATGAAGTCAACTTCAAGAGGTAAACAAATCAGCACAACTGCACTGAAACGTTGAATGCATAAGAACACAACATCAAACAGGCATATCTGTCGATCACCATTGAGTCTGGCGACAAATTGCCTGCTCCATGCCCAACAGGCGCCAGTGAGATGACATAAGTCGCTGCTTTCAGCTGCGCGTGTACAGTGCTGCCTGGAAGAGGATGTGGCTGCTGCCAAACTATCAACGCTGTCTCTGGCATATGCATTTTATAATTTCTGGTAAAGAGAATAATTATTAGTTATTTTGAAATTCATGATAATTAAAGCCTGTACTCATCAAAAGTTTTTATATGTATTTCTATTTTTTTTTGTTACTTTTCTAATTGATTTAGTGCAGTTTTAATTTTTATCTATAGGAAAGTATGCTGTGCCCCCCTTTCAAGCCCTTCGCGCCCCCCCATGGGGGTCGCGCCCCACACTTTGAGAACCACCGATCTAAGGCAACGCATCGCAACAGTTATTGTGAGTGCTGACGAGGACATGCTCCGGTGTGCTTGGAACAAATTGGATTATCAAATTGATATGTGTCGTGTGACAAAAGGTTCATACATAGAACATTTGTAACTTAAATGTACAAACTTAAAGACATATACTAAAAAACCATGCAAGTATTTTGGCTATATCAATAATACTTCGGTTTCTATAAAATGTTGAAAGTGTCTGTTTCTTTTATAGTTACCCATCTTTGT